AAGCTGCATTCGGCTTGGCACTGCAGCCGTGAGGGAGGCCAGGGCAGCTGTCTCCTGGGCGCCCAGGCCTGCTGGCAACAGGCCATTAGGAAGGAACCACGACCACACGCTCTCTCCACCAAGGACAGAAATGAAAAGCACCTTCAACAGCAACAAGCTGAGTGGGTCTACTAGAACATGCCACAAGCCTCTGTGCCTTGGCGACTGCAGCCTCCAAAGTGAGTTAGTAACGCAAACCATAAAAATAGTGGGGGAAAGGTTCTGAGCCATGAGATGGAAAACAAAGCACCGGAAGAAGGCTATTGAATGCATTTTATCTCAAAAGAGCAGAAAAAAATGGAGAGTAGCTTCCTGACAGGCAAGAGAGGGATTCCTCAAACAGTTCAAGCAAGCAACGCAGTGTCACATGCAGGCCACATGGGGCGGCAAGGCTGAAGAAACACAGGAGGAGGGAGAAAACAGTACATTGAAGTGTTAGAAAAAAAACAAGGGAGAGAGAGGCAAAGGCCCAGGTGGGAGGGTGAGCCCTGATTAGAAACCAGAACCCGCCGCCTCCTGAGACCAGGAAAGCTGGCAAGGACAGATGTTGAGGGAGAAGAGAAGCCCAGTGCCAAGAGGTGCGACAGGGAGTACTGAGGCTCAAGGACAGGACAGGACAGGACAGGACAGGAAAGGAAAGGAAAGGAAAAGGACAAGAACAGAAAAAGGAGGCTCCTCATCAGTAATCGAGGAAGACAAACGCAGCACTGCCCACCCCTGGGAAGTGTTCCGGAAGGCGCCCTGAGACTCCCCGATGTTCATCCTTGGGTGCTCAGCCAGTTGGAAAGTGACATTTACCTATTCCAGCCCACACGCCTCCTTATCTCATGAGACTCCCTGAAGGTGGTGAAGTTAACAGATACTGTGCAGCCACAAAAACCTTATGTCATCTCTCTTTAACTCTGAAAACGGCACAAAGCGTTAAAAGGTATAGACCTCTACTTTCTAAATGAATTTTCAAAGAGAGGGAGGCTGTGGCTGAGTCAGTCGGAGCTGCACAGCCTGTCGGATTTTCATGTAGGGCAGCCGTCAAGAGGAACACAGTGTTTCTTTCTTACAGAGTCAGTCCTGCCTCGGGCTCAGTGACTCGAGGTCTATGACAAATGACACAGGGACCTCACTGGCAGCCTCACTCCTAATAATAGAGGATGGGAATGTGCTCGGCCGCCCCAGAGTAATCCCATTAGGAAGACAAAGAAAATGGGGTGAATGGTGCTCTTGGCTGGAGTAGTGTAGCTTAGACTCTCATATTTGCCTTGAGAATTACGTCCCACACTTACGAAAGCTGAAGTTAAAGCATTTGACCACTGGGGTAGGGAGAATTCTAACACAGTCCCCAAGCTGTCCCCGTCCCATCCTTGTATAATTCCCTCCCCTTAAGGACAAGCAGACCTTGTGAATATGATGGGATAAACCACCGATGATTTTACTAATCGACTGACCTTGAATTAATCAAAAGAGATTATGGTACAGGGTCAGACCTAGTAAGAAGAGCCCTGAAAGGTGCTGGCCCTTCCTGAAAGAAGGTGGAGGGAACACGGAGGGACCCAGGGACAAGGAGCCGCCATCAGCCTCTAACTGCTGAGAGCCCCCCGCCCCACCCCAAGTCTACAAGAGGACAGGGGCCTCAGTCCTACAACCACAAGGAAATGAATTCTGAAACAACCATGGGGGCTTGAAAGGGGACTCGAAGCTCCCGAAGGAAATGCAGTCCAGCAGACACTTAGATTTCAGCCTCGTGAGACCCGGGCAGCGAATCCAGCCATGCCTGGCTCAGATTCCGGAAGTGCGCTATAAACGGGCATTGTTTTAAGCTGCTAAGTTTATTATTTGTTATTTGGTATTAGAAAACAAATATACCTATGGATGAAAATATTATCAAGGATGCTGAAAAAGTATATACTTAATGTTGAGATCTTTAATTGAAGATATAAACAGAATATTGGCTACACTATTGGAGAAAGGGCAACAATTCCATTTGCGGTAATTTATTTTGAATCTGTACTAATTCAACAAGAAACGTTTGTTTAATAATCTCTGTTATGACAATTAAATCAAATGGGCAATTTGTCAGACAAGTCTGCCTTAGAAGGCAATCATCCCGATCTGGCTCTGAGATCTTTCCTTCACTATCAAAAGATCTGGTGTTGAAGCCATCAGCATTCCCAGGGGATTGCTCAGGCTGCCTCAGTCAACACCCATAACGACCTGCTGAAATCCTGCCGATTACTCATTCCAAGTCAGAAAACAACTTGTCTCCTGACTAATTTCCTTCCTTAAGGGTAAGAATAACCCAAAAAGCAAGTTGATGCCTCTCCTTGATTTTACATTTTGTTTTCCTTAAAAAACAACACATCATCAAGTCTATGTGAGCAAGGCATCTGAATGATGCAACTCTGAACCGCTCTACAGCTTTGTAAACCCAGAAAGGTGTAAACCCAATTATAGACCTGGCTAGACTCATGATTTAAAAAACACTCTCATGACAACTTTTATGGATTTAGAAAAAAAATACAAATGTAAAACGTATTTGTAAATTACATGATTCAAAAGTGCCATCTGCTGGTTTTGTCTAGAAATACTACCCAGTAAAGCTTCTCATTTACACCCAGAAGAGGGAAACAGGGAGGCACCCCCACTGCCCTATTTATAGAGAAACACAGGATTCCACACCCTCATATAAGTAGTGGGACCAAAGCTCACAAGTCCCTCATCAGAATATCTGTGAGGTCTTCATAGCTGGAATATTTTGCTTCTCCGGAACAACAGTTTGCTTATACTGCCTGGGCATTATTAACTGAAGCTGTATGCTTTCCTTTCCCTATGAACTGCTAGAAACCTAAGTCCCGGTCCAGCCTCAGAAAAAGTAAAAGACGTTAATAGATGCAGCTTGTATCCTCTGTTCTATTGGTTTACCCTGTGTGTCACCTTCCACATTTGCTTCTCATTAGACTTTTGAGCAGGGGTCCTCAAACTACGTCCCGCGGACCACATGCAAATACAAATATTTTATTTGTTCCCATTTTGTTTTTTTACTTCAAAATAAGATATGTGCAGTGTGCATAGGAATTTGTTCATAGGTTTTTTTTAAACTATAGTCCGGCCCTCCAACGGTCTGAGGGACAGTGAACTGGCCCCCTGTTTAAAAAGTTTGAGGACCTCTGCTTTTGAGTGAGTGAGTGTATGTGTGTGTGTGACTCTGTCTTCCTCTCTCTCTTTGGAGCCACCTTAAATCTTTCCTTAAAACAAGCTGAAATAGAGATAATAAATCTCTAAATTGAAGTAAACATAATCGAAAACACAACTGAGCATGGCTATCATCTGCTTTGAAGAGAGACTGCTTTGCAGACAAAACAATGCAGGAAGCAATCACAAAAGGCATAACCAAATGAAAGGAAGAGCCCAGACTACAAAAGACACTACAAAAAGGATGAGTAGAGTGCAACTGACCTGTCCTTTGGACATGATTGCAATGATACCCTTATCCACACACTTCTACTTTTTTCACAAGTTTCAAATGTCCTACATCACCTCCCATTGGCTTCACAAAAGCTCTATAAATATACATACATAACTTTCTGACTGATTCATCACTTACCAGATGTAAAAAACAAGGTTTTGAAGTTAAGTGAAACTGCCTTACCTAATGTCTTCGTCTGTGACAATGAAAGCTTTGCAGAGGGGTTGAGATGTGTTGAGCCAAACAGCGGGGTTCTTTTCCACAGCAGGGGAGACTTGCCCTGTGATTGGAGCAGAGCTTGTGTGCAAAGCACTGGCAACAGCAGATAAAAGGGTCTCGTCGTTACTACCTGGACCAACTCCTGCAATCAGAAAAATGGACTTGTTGAGGGAAATTTCTAAATGTGTTTGACAAACCTATGTTACCTAAAACAACCACTATTTTTATATTCTTTTGGGATCATATATTTTTTTTTGGGGGGGGGGGGGGGG